AGCACAAATTATATTTCTCTACCTATTTAACATGAACTTATTTTGCTTAATTATATCACGTCATACATCAAGTTGATAAAATCATTTTGACAACTCTAATGAACCTATCCTTTTTGAAATGGTTACTAAATGATGGTCAAAGCAATAATTTGATAACCAGAGAGGAATTTTCGACTTGATAAAATTCTTTATTGTTAATCAATATATTCTTAAAACTAAAATGTATTAGTCTGTCCTATGAGATAGATTTCATCATGAAATATTTATAAAGTAAATTTATATGTTAATATTACAGTATATTCGAATTTTGAAAACTCTAAAGTATATCTCGACGGGATAAATTATTGATAATACATGAAAATTTATGAGTTACAATAGATAAGTAATGTAACTAATAAGTTCTAAGTATATAAATAACATTAAATATTATAGAGAAAGAAGATACAGTCAAACTTTGCTCTTAGGCAGCGATTTTCCTCTTCTGTAAGCAAGTGTAGCGCTAAATCGAGATATATCAAACAATAAGAATCACAATCAAATCTTATTGTGTTCTCCTGTTGGCGGTCAAGACGATAGTTAACTGTTCAGGAGGACTTTTAGTGACCCTTCACAGGGGAGTCTCGCTAGTGTTCATAAGACAAAAGAGTTTTAAAAAAATAAAAGACAAACTTCCACTTTTAAATTACAAACATAGATTTAAGTTTTACATACCATACTGCTTATGGTATATAAAACTTGAATCTACTTAGCCTATATATTCTTTCTTTTATTATTAATTTATATTTAAAAAATTTAATGAATTTCGTCTTTATTATTCTTNACATTGGGGGTATATATATATATATATATATATATACGAATATTTTTCAATCTTTATTTATGTTAAAAATAAATTGAAAATGAAAGTTTAAAAGCTTTAAACTAAGTCAATTTCGAATTCTATTATATATTTTAGAAAATATTTTCTTGTATCAGAATTAGTTATCAACTTCAATCTTTAACAATATATTTTTCTGACATTTTGTTGGATTTTTATTTAGAAAAGATACCTTTTGATATCATTTTTTAAAAAATATTTAGTATAGATTTCGATGTTCTTTTTTAAAAAAAATTGATAAAATTATTTTAAATAATTGTAAATTTTAATATTATAGTTAGTTTAAGATTAAGGTTATCATTGTTTAATGGAAAAATCTATAGATTAAATGATGTCAATCATCGATATAAAGAAAAATAAATAAATATAAAGCTAAGAAATGAAATAAAATAAAATTTAAGCTATTTAATTTATATTTAATCTTATTCAACATTAAGAAATTGTAGAAGTAACAGATATATTTTCGGGGTAAATTTAAATATTCGCCATACAAGACTGGGTTATAAATACAACTACAGGAACCACATTTTTTTTTTTAAATGTGCCTCCCGTAGTTTCACATAGACACAACACTTTTACGAAGTGTCAGATATGCGTGAAACCGTAAAACATATTTATTTATTGCTTATGGCTTTAAAGCAAGCTTAAAAATTTTTTAAAAACTAAAAATATTCGCGTACAACACATCATATCCGGTTGTAAGCTTTTAACACGACACAACTAAATAGCAAATATAATACATCAAAAGCTTGCACACTAACACAAACCATTACACACACAGGAAACATATAACAATACACGTCTTGGTGGGTCATAGAAAATAACACACGCAATATAATCGTGCCATAATCACAGGCAAAACAACCCATCACAACAGACGAGACATCGCATTCCAAACAAAATCACACAACTCATTGACAAAATACCATAACATACACTGAAAAAATTAAGCAAACACTAATAATATCTATACAATAAAGCTTGCACACTAACACAAACCATTACACACACAGGAAACATATAACAATACACGTCTTGGTGGGTCATAGAAAATAACACACGCAATATAATCGTGCCATAATCACAGGCAAAACAACCCATCACAACAGACGAGACATCGCATTCCAAACAAAATCACACAACTCATTGACAAAATACCATAACATACACTGAAAAAATTAAGCAAACACTAATAATATCTATACAATAAAAATATTAATATAAAATTACATTTAATTGTAACTTAAATATAAATTTATTTACAAAATAAATTAAAGAAAATTATAAATAAAACAACATAAATCTGTTTACTTAATCGATATTAAAAACTTTAAGAATATTTTTTTTTTTTACTAAAGATAATTTCTTTTCAAGATATATCACGAGAAGAGAAACAAGATTGTTTTTAAGATTTAAATTTAAAAGAAAAAGAAAATCAATAGGAGAAACTCGTTAAAAGTTTTAAAATTGTTTTATAAAATGAAACATTCCTCAATAATAAATTATTTCTAAAAACTTTCAACAACGTTTTCTTTTATGTAAAAGTAGTAGTTAATTTTTTTCTTTTTCTTTTTAAACGAAGAAAACATAATGTAATCATTAGTACATCCATTAGTTTTCTTTCTTTTTTCTATCGTAATTAAGATGTTTATACAAGAAATATTCTTTAATAAATAAAACATAATTATTATATCATATATAAAAATATTTTTTATTACTTAAAATTATTCTGTAATCTAATCTTATAATATGTAAACATTTCGAATTTAAAAGAAATAAAAATTTTATTTCTTTAACTCAAAAAAAAAAATTAAATCTTGTTATTTAATATTTTATTTACGATCCTATTTCTCAATTTAAATTGATTTTTTTTATAAATATTTTTCAATTAAATTTAAGTATTTTCTTCGCTTTTAATTTCAAAATTTAAGAACAAAATGTAGTAAAATTAAAAATAAATTTTTTACAACGTTTATTTTAATTAATATTTATCTTATTTAAGAATATTTCAAACGGTATTTTTGTAATGAAAGCTAAATCATTAAAAAAAAATTTTTTTAATCTCGCATGAAAACAAATATAATTTAAGAATTAATTGGAAAAAATAAATAAAAAGAACCACATTAATTAATATATTTTATAAAGCACAAATTATATTTCTCTACCTATTTAACATGAACTTATTTTGCTTAATTATATCACGTCATACATCAAGTTGATAAAATCATTTTGACAACTCTAATGAACCTATCCTTTTTGAAATGGTTACTAAATGATGGTCAAAGCAATAATTTGATAACCAGAGAGGAATTTTCGACTTGATAAAATTCTTTATTGTTAATCAATATATTCTTAAAACTAAAATGTATTAGTCTGTCCTATGAGATAGATTTCATCATGAAATATTTATAAAGTAAATTTATATGTTAATATTACAGTATATTCGAATTTTGAAAACTCTAAAGTATATCTCGACGGGATAAATTATTGATAATACATGAAAATTTATGAGTTACAATAGATAAGTAATGTAACTAATAAGTTCTAAGTATATAAATAACATTAAATATTATAGAGAAAGAAGATACAGTCAAACTTTGCTCTTAGGCAGCGATTTTCCTCTTCTGTAAGCAAGTGTAGCGCTAAATCGAGATATATCAAACAATAAGAATCACAATCAAATCTTATTGTGTTCTCCTGTTGGCGGTCAAGACGATAGTTAACTGTTCAGGAGGACTTTTAGTGACCCTTCACAGGGGAGTCTCGCTAGTGTTCATAAGACAAAAGAGTTTTAAAAAAATAAAAGACAAACTTCCACTTTTAAATTACAAACATAGATTTAAGTTTTACATACCATACTGCTTATGGTATATAAAACTTGAATCTACTTAGCCTATATATTCTTTCTTTTATTATTAATTTATATTTAAAAAATTTAATGAATTTCGTCTTTATTATTCTTTAGACTACTTGAAAACTACCTTTTTCATAATTGTAAAATTAAGATTGTTTTAAAAAGATTAAAATGTATATTGCATTTGTGTACACACGTACGGTATACCTGAATATATGGATGACAGAACTATCAGTTTTTTTCATTCACACGTTCAGGTATACATTCCAGGTATACTAGTACATGTATACCCGGCTTTAAAGGGTGGACGTGACAATGATTTGCATTTGAATCGCAAGTAGTACTCAAGTGAGGTAATTTTACTTGGTTTAAAAGATTAATCCTTTTGATTATATCTGTGTTCACTAGTTTAACAAGACACATTGTCTTTATTTAATAAATATGAAGTTTAATGTAATCATAAGGGCAAAAATAGTAATTTTTATTACAGTTAAACGATAATTAGAATAATGTAAAATATATTTTTGTGTTGTTTATTTTTAATGTAAAATCTAATTAAGTATTTTATTTTTCCTAAAAGTAACTTGAAATTATGTTATTTTATTTGATTTACACGTCAATAAAAGCAAAATATATATTCGAAAATTTCTGTTTTATTTTGAAAAGTTATCACTTTAAAAGTAAGAAGTTTCTCATGCCAAGGATGAAAATTCATGTATCGAAGGTTTCAGGCAAATGTAATAGGAGAAGAAATTGGTATGAGAATCACGAAGAGATGATCACTATGGACTGGAATACAATACTACACAAAAGGTTTATTCACCCGGAAGGAAGGAAGAATAGGATGCGAATCTTAGACAAGATAAAATTAATTGCTTTCAAACTATGAGGAAACCAATAAAATCTCACCAAAGTTAAGTAAATCGATTTACAATATAGGGTATTCAAAATGTAAAATCTAGCACTCAAGGCTAAATCACTCCTCCTATTCGAATTATTGTATATAAATCAATGCAGATAACAAGCAAACGAGTAGACTTTATCATTAATGAGTTAACCATAAACTTAATTATTAATATTAATCTAAAAATCAAATTTAATTATAGCTATAATGTAAAGAAAACAATTACTAAAAATGCAAAAATAATATATAAAATATATAACAATAATCTAAATTATTTAAAATAAAATAAATATTAAGTTTTATATAATTCAATTACGAAAATTAAATATATATTTTTTTTCTCCCATCTCCCATTTGAAACTTGCCTGATTGAGGATCTTGCTTGCCGCTTGAAATACCGAAATCTAAAATTAAATTAAAATAATAAAATTAGTTTCGAATATATTCTAAAATTATTTAATAAAATAATAAGAATTTTATTGGAATGTAGGGGATCGACAAATGTAATTTTTCATCAGAATTCTTTCTGTTATCGATTTTTCCACACCGACGAAGCATACGTCTATTCATTCAGAAACTTATACATCTTGTCTCTATTTTCCAAATAATATTTCACACCCTCTAACCTCAGGGAACGAACAACGTTGAAAGATCTATTTATTACATATAATAAATACATACTTTCCTCAGTATAGTAGATATATAGATGTATGATATCTAATTTTACGATGTCTAATTTTTCATCTTTCTAAGTATTAGTGAAGATAGGAGAGTTTCCTAAAGATTAATTTGTTTCGTTTGACATTATTACTAAGATTAATAAATCTTTTTACCAAATTCTTCTTTCAACAGAGTGATTTACTTATTATAAACTTTTTAAAATTAATATATAATTCTAACTGTTTTAATTTAATTTTTTTTTTGCACGTTCAATTAAACTAATGTGTTTTTTATTCATTATAAAATTTTTAATGTAGCTCGATTTACAAATTATCTTAATAACAACGTCATTATGATAATGTGATAACGCGGAATAAAAGGAAAAAAAAAACAACTTACTTGTGACGAATCTATAAATAGCGCGAAATCCTTTGACAGTTGGTGATGAGGCGTAACTCTTAAATTCGACAACCATCGAAGCACCGTTTGACATTAATTGCGCTGGGAGTTTGTTGCCACAAAAGTTATCTACTCTTTCCTTCTGACCGTTGATTGTGATAAAGACCATAACAGCATCAACACCTTCGCATCTAACAAAGAGAGAGAGGGGGAGGGAGGGAGGGAAGGAAGAAAAATTCATATAATATTCTTATAAATTCTTCCTATAACAACATTCATCGTTTTGCGTGTATTAAATAGAATAATTTATTGAATAGACCAATTTCGAATATTTATATGTTACCTTACGATAAACGATAAAGTATGAAGTTTTGAGTGTGTGTGTGATGGGCGAGATATTAAAGAATCTATAGTTATCTTGTGTACCTGCTATAGGTGAAAAGAATTTTTTTTTTTCCTGATAGTAAATCGCATTTTCTATTCTTATCTCTGCTTCACTGCATGATCGTAAGCAAAGGTCCATCAAAAAATGTCGATTTGAATAGAGTGGAACATTTACTTGGAAATGGAAAAAAAATGTATAATAAACGACAAACCAAAAATAAAAAATTTAAGCGAAAGTGTCTTTTTTTTTTATTCTTCTTCTTCCAAAAAGAAGAGAGTTTCTTTAAATTTTTTGCTGTTATTTTTCATTTATATCGCTAAAAATTATATTTATAGAAATGCAATAAGTGTCAGAACATTTGTAGTACATAAAGAAAAAAAGAAAAGAAAAGATTTTAATAATTTATAGACTTTTACATAATGAATTCTTATGAATAAAATTATATAAATTTGTAAGATTAATAATTTATAAATGAAAACAGTTTAGATAAATGATTAGAAACTTGATACTTTATTTCGTAGAAAATATAGAAAAATTACATCGGAATGTTTTCATATTTTATACTTAGATACGCATAAATAAATGTAAATAAATTATAAGTCTGTGTGTATATATATATAATTCTACAGTGTTATATTTTTATGTAAGAATATTTTAAAGTATTTTTATTTTTATTCTTGAAAAAAAAAGA